TTACGCGTTTTTGCGTATATGCAAATGCAAAAATGCATACTGGCAAGAGCCTGTCTGTGTGTGTGTGTCTGTGTTTTTGCGCTTTTTGTTACTCACTTTCAACTTGAGGACCGGAAAAGCTAGAAGGCTGAAACTTCAGGAGTATGTGCCTGAATGTTAGCGACCTGATTACTTCAAGTCTGATGCCAAAACGCATGATCGCAGCGGCAAGCCTGGTGCATTACAGTCTGGTTGTTTCATTCCAACCAGAATGAACAGGACGTCCTACAAATGGCGGTTAAAGCTAAGTAACTGGAAAATTGTTAGGTTGGAGCGCTAACCTTATTATTTGGAGAGGGAAGGTTGATGAACTGTAATGAAATTCAGCAAAATTCAGACTGCTCAAAAAACGCGAATTTTTAATTTTATTTTATCAAGTGGCGACGAGCATGCCGCAGTGTATAGTAACGCCGCTGTCCGACTTTAAGTGTCGAAGATTCGACTCCGCCAGTGGAGCAAACGATCAATTTCTCTAGCACTGTTTGCTCTTTTTGATGGTAAATTGGTACTGATATATGCCAGAGAGTGGGACCTCCATCAACATACTTATGTATGCTACCCTCGAAAAAGGAATGGGCTGATAGCGTTGACGACATGTGGCTGCTATTGATCATTTGCTACCACTCGGACTATTTCCGAAATGCTTCTTCCTGTTATAGAGATCGGATTTGAGGAGGCTTTTAATTTTGACTTTTGATATTGTCAAAAATGCTGGATTTTTGAATTACGCTGATCCCGTCGGTGCGAATTCGTCCACATTTAAAGCAGGTTCGATGGCCTTACTGTGTCGTGAATGGGTTCGAAGGAGCATGTTCTCAGATGTTGCATGATTATATATAAATAATATTATGCTGTCTATACATTCTGTTTTGCCTAGAACACTTATTTTTAGGTCTTCCTGCTGTTATCACTACGTGCTTGGCATTGGGCACACGCCGTATGGCGAAGAAAAATGCAATTGTACGCTCGCTGCCATCTGTAGAAACACTGGGTTGCACCTCAGTGATATGCTCTGATAAGACCGGAACACTGACAACAAATCAGATGAGTGTATCGAAGATGTTTATTGCCGAAAAAGTGACCGGTGATGATATCGATTTCACGGAATTTACCGTCACTGGCTCAACATATGAACCATCCGGACAGGTAAGTAGCCGTTTTGCATATTGCCAGCGACAGATTGATGACTAGAAGTTAATGGCATTGGATTGGAATGACTAAAATTTGGCAAATACTAAAACCAACGACATACAGGATATATGTGAATGAAATCATGAGCTCCATACTTATGATAATTGTTGGCCTTTTATAATAATAATAACAGTGATAATGATGATGATAATAATAACATAACAACGGCGGTAAAGCAAGAAATATTTCTTTCATTGTTTAACATCATTCTAAAGAAAAGGAATAAAGTTTTAGGACTCTCGGTTCATGTGATTTACTCAAATATTCAACAGTCAC